GTCATGTTGTTCCCTCCCAAAGACACAATCCCAAACCACTGTATCAACCTCTCCGCTCTAACCCTGTCAGAAAAACAAAGAGTCACTAATCTGGGCGTGATAATGGACCCTTCCCTGAAGCTTAACAATCATGTAAACATGATTGTTAAATCATGCTTCTTCCAACAGAGGCGACTGTCTAAACTGAAGCCCATATTGTCCAAAAATAAACTGGAGACAGCAATACATGCATTCATTACTTCTAGGCTTGATTACTGCAATTCACACCTGTTTGGTATCAGTCAGACCTCCACTGCACGACTACAACTGGTCCAGAATGCAGCAGCCAGATTTTTAACCAGTACAGGCAAAAGAGAGCACATTACACCAGTTTTGGCCTCACTGCACTGGTTACCGGTTCACCTTAGAATCCAGTTCAAAATACTCATGTATGTCTACAAATCACTGAACAGTGTCGCCCCTACCTATCTCTCTGATCTGCTACAACCGTATGTCCCACCACGTTCCCTGAGGTCAGAGGACCAGTTGCTCCTCATAGTTCCAGGGACTCGTCTTAAGCGCAGAGGTGACAGGGCATTCTCTGTAGCAGGACCAAGACTCTGGAACGAGTTACCTCTGCTTGTCAGACAGGCCCCCTCCCTCTCGGTTTTCAAGTCCCATTTAAAAACTCACTACTATTCAGTAGCATTCAACACCCGATGATCTGTGTTTTTGATCCTGTATGCTCCACACTGCTTTGTCGTCAATATATGCATCGTTTTTATGTCTATAGTCTGATTTACCTCATTTTGTATTGTGCTTGGTGTGTTACCTGTTGTTTTGTCTGTACAGCACTTTGGTTGGCCTTGTAGCTGTTTTAAGTGCTTCATAAATAAAGTGGTATGGTATGGTAAACGGAAGTTCATCAGAAGAACAGTTAAGAGGAGAGAGTCCAGAGCAGCATAATAAGTCCAAAGTGTGGCCCTTTATGTGGGTTGGTAAGTTAATGAACTGCTGGAAGCCACAGCTGTCGAGGCAGGATGTGAAGTCTCTGGTGAGGGGGTTGTTGTCTCCATCCATATGAATGTTGAAGTCTCCAAGCAGAATAATGTTGGGTGAAAGAGCTGAGAGATGGGCGATTAGAGCAACAAAGTCATTTATAAAAGAGTTGTTGATTTTGGGCGGACGGTAGAAAGTGGCAACAATGGTGGGGGTAGGGCCGGAGAGTAGACACACAGTGTGCTCAAAGGAGGGATAGGGAGGTGTGTGAACCGGCGTGACCTTCCAATTCTCGCGGTGAATTATTGCGAGACCTCCTCCGCGCCCAGACTCGCGGGATTTGGCGATGTAAACAAACCCCGGTGGGGTAGATTCATTCAGGTGGAAAAAGTAATTTTGTTGTTGCCATGTTTCTGTTAGACAAATAAAATCTAGCTTACGGTCAGATATTAGATCTTGAATAAGCTGACCTTTGCCAGTGAGTGAGCGAACGTTCAGAAGGCCAAACTTTACGGAGGAGGAGTTGGTAGCGACCGGAGCATTAGCCGACCGAGCTAGGGTAGCTAACATGCTACTACTGTTAGCGGCCTGAGTATTGCGGCATGTAGAATGGTGAGAGTCAGACCAGATGGAGTTTATGGGGTTAACTTGTCAGCGTGGAGTTTATGGCGGAGCCACGGTGAATGTATCTCCGGCGAGGATGGAAGGCAATGTCCTGAAGAGGGAGCACAGGTGGCATGGCTGGTAAGAAACGAAGGCGAAGGAGCTCGACCGCTGAGTAATGGAGAAGGCCAGACGCCGGGTGGTGGTGGATGAGTAGCTGGAGAGTCCAAAGCAGAGCAGGCAGCAGGTAAATCCTAATGAACCGCATGGCTGATATTGAGACGGATCAGAGACTTGGTGTAGTGGAAAAGGCAGGAAGGACTGAATAAAACAGAAAAAAGCAAAAAAGCACGACGAGCAGCGGGAGCCAGGATGCGTCAGCGTTCGCTCACCGGAAGGAAGAGCTATATGCTATATAGCTATATAGACATACAGCTATATGGCAGCTCCATACAGCTCTGGGCGTAAACACGTATGTCTCTTTGTCATATATCTGTGTTTTACCTGCCTGTGTGCTGAAACCACGTGTCACGTTACAACCAATCACCGAAACTTGACACCGAAAGAAGAGTCATGTTTCAATCTATACACCAACCGACGCAGTTCGGTTGGTACTATAAAAGAACCACGGTTTGGTATACAGCCATAATTGAGTCCGAGTGGGCCATGTTCCGCGCCTCGTTTGTTGAGGTAGCTGCCTTGAGCTGTGGCCGCAAGGTTGTTGGTGCTTCTCACGGTAGCCATCCACAAACTTAGTGGTGGACATCCCCAGGTCAGGGAGGCTGTCAAGCTGAAGAAGGAGTCCTATTGGGCCTTGTTGACCATTGGGACTCCGGAGGCAGCTGAGGAGTACCGGAGGGCCAAGCGGTCCACAGCCATGGCTGTTGCTGAAGCAAAAGCTCGGATGTGGCAGGAGTTCAACGAGACCTTGGATAGAGACTCTTGACTCCGAGTAGATTCTGGCAAACCATCAGGTGGCTGAGGAGGGGAAGGCAGCACTTTACTAACACTGTGTTCAGTGAAGGTGGGACGCTGTTGACCTCAACCAGTGATGTCGTTGGGAGGTGGAAGGAATACTTCTCTGACCTTCTCAATCCCACCAGCACGTCTTCCATGGAGGAAGCTGAGTCTGGGGAATTTGGGGTTGATCCGTACATAACCGTGGCTGAGGTCGCCGAGGTCGTTAAAAAGTTCCGAGGCGGCAGAGCTCCGGGAGTGGATGAGATTCATCCTGATTTCCTTAAGGCTCTGGATGTTGTGGGGCTGTCTTGGATACACGCCTTTGTAATGTCGCGTGGACATCGGGGGCAGTGCCACTGGACTGGCAGACTGGGGTGATGGTTCCCCTCTTCAAAAAGGGGGACCGGAGGGTGTGCTCCAATTACAGGGGCATCACTCTCCTTAGCCTCCCTGTTAAGGTCTATTCAGGGGTACTGGAGAAGCGAGTCAGATCGTTGGCCAAACCTCAGATCCAGGAGGAACAATGTGGGTTCCGTCCTGTCTGTGGAACACTGGATCAGCTCTTTATCCTCACTAGGGTCCTCGAAGGGTCATGGGAGTTTGCCCATTCAGTCTACATGTGTTTGTGGACTTGGAGAAGGCATTTGACCGTGCTCCTCGGGGTACACTGTGGGGGGTGCTCCATGAGTATGAGATTCGGGGCCCATTGTTACGGGCTGTTCAGTCCATACACAAGTGGTGTGAGAATTTGGTTCTAATTGCTGGCAGTAAGTCAGACCCCTTCAGGGTAGGAGTTTGACTCTGCCAGGGCTGCCCGTTGTCACCGATTCTGTTCATAACTATTATGGACAGAATTTCTCGGTGTAGCCAGCTGGCAGAGTGTTTCCGGTTCTGTGGCCTCAGGATTCCATCTCTGCTCTTTGCAGATGATGTGGTCCTGTTGGCGTCGTCGTGCCGTGATCTTCAGCTCTCAGTGGAGCGGTTCACAGCCGAGTGCGAAGCGGCTGGGATTAGAATCAACACCTCCAAATTCTGAGGCCATTGTCCTCATCCAGAAAAGGGTAGATTGCTCTCTTCAGGTCGAAGGTGAGTATCTGTCTCAAGTGGAGGAGTTCAAGTATCTCAAGGTTTTGTTCACGAGTGAGGGAAGAATGGAGCATGAGATTAACAGACGTCTCTGTACCGGTCTGTTGTGGTGAAGAGAGCTGAGCTGTAAGACAAAGCTCTCCGTTTACCGGTCAGTCTACGTTCCTACCCTCACCAGTGAGCGTTTATGCTAAATGCTAATACACTGTTCCTTGAATTTAATGAACTCGGAACAAAAACATGATTTTTCTGGCGTTTTAAAGTCACTACTTGATAACTCAGATTCAACTGCCTGAAAATTGTTATCACCAAAAAAATGAGCAAAAAAATGTTTTTTAATATATCCACATAGATTTTGTGTTCTGTGTCATTTTGTTTTCCTGGATGCAGACTTTTATTATGGCTAATGTCCGACCTCGTGATGGAAAAATATGAAGACCATCAGTAGCACAACGCTTTTATTCTGAAGAGGAAATGCATTTGCCATTGTTGTGCACACACCCTCTCACTGACTACCTTCCACTAGCACTAATGGAGATTATTGGCTTCAGGTTCCAACACTGAAGACACTTGTAGAAGATTTAGACGGCTACTTTGTGTGGCTTGTAGCTGCTGACTTTTAGGTTTTTTTCTGAGCGGTCATTAAATTTTATGACCATAAATTCCTAACTGCTGTTCCATTAAAATAAAAAAACTACCATAAATTTACAGCTAGGTATGAATAATTTTAAGCATTTCAAGCTTAGTTGCATGCAACTGTACTTGGATGTAGTTCTCCTTCTAGCATCATAAAATGATTTATTTCTTCAGGGAGCGCCACAGAAAACTCTTTTGCACAAAGATTTGGCAACTGTTTTATTTTTGCACCAGCTGCCAGACACAAGCACAGATTTTCCACAGCTCGTCTGTGTGGTGCCATCTTCACCCGGGGAAGTTAAGGGATTTCACATTTATCAGCCAAATTATTCTTGTCGGTCCGGGGATTCAAACCAGCAACCTTGAAGCAAGAAGTTTGTCTTCTCTAACCTCTGCACACACCCCACCACCACCAAAACTGTGTTAAGTTAAAGCTTCTAAATGAGATTTTTCTTTATTCCAGCTCTGTCAGCACACATGCCTTTATTTCTTGACATTTTCTTTTAAACGTTACTTTTTAAATTTCTGCAGGAAGCTTTTCAGACACACGGTTTATTTTATCTCCTGTGTTTTCTGTGCTCTTCTTGTTGTCATTGTATTGTCCAGATTTGGTGGCAACTCAACTCTCTTTTTCTTTGTTTTATGCAGAGCTCTTTGGTTCTGATCTCACCTTTTGTATTATAAAATGTTCCATAAATAAATGTAAAAGCTTCTAAATGACCATTCTTTGAACATACCACTCCGTTAACAGAGAGAAGCTGGTCGCCTCTTTTCAGGCCTCCGTGGCGGTCGGCGATGCCTCCTGGGATGATCCGTGAGATGTAAATAGGCGAGTTCTGCTCCTTTCCACCCATTATATTGAAACCCAGACCTTCTTCTGTTTTGGGCAGTTCCACCACACGAGGATGTGAGTGTCCCTCACTGGCTGCAAATGCTGCCACTGTAGCCTATAAAGATGAAAATTACATCATTAGGCCATTGCACATCCCCTCAATGTTTGAATGGCCTAAAGATGTGAAAGATTTCAAATCTATGATGGAGAAGAACAAGGCTACATTTTGATGCACTACAGTAATTAACGTGTACCTTTGCAGTGGCGTTGGCTCTGACCTCAGGACTGCTGTTGATATCCACCGTTTCATACACATGCTCATAAACCTTAAAAAAAAACCACCTAATCAAATGTAGTTTTACAAAAAAACAGGACAGAATGCAGTTTTTTTTAATAGTGTCTTACTTCTCTGACAGCATTACAAAATTCACTCTGCAAGACCCTCTGCAGCGCCTGCAGCTTCTGAGGAGGAACTTCCCCCGTCCTCTGCAGCTTATCGAGCAGCTCAATCGCACGGTTGATATCTGTCAAAGAGATTATGAAAGCTTCACATTCATGCCTGAAACAAGAAAGATTAAAAAGGATAAATCTTTCACTGTATTAATGGAAGCACCGAACCTTCACGTTCATGAAGCTAAAGAGAAGTATTAAGAAGGTGAACAGATGCTTACTGTAATAAAAATGCCTATAATAAATCATTTCATAGTATTTTCTTTTAATTGAAGTCTTTAAATATTATTAGTCCAAACTGAAATTACCACACACTTCATTTATTTTATAATAAATGCACTTAATGGTTTCCTCTTGAATATAAAATCAAAGCTCAATGTTAAGAAAATAAAAACGGAAAACCACACCACACTTCAAACAAGGAAATAACTTATTGTTAAATGAGTTCAAGAAATAATATGGTTTAGAGTATGGAGCTTCTCTTACAAGGACATTCTCTTACTTAATGATGGAAATACAGCACACGCTATCTAAAGCAAACAAACTGTTCAGTATATGTTTTACATTAAAAGTTTAACAATAATAAGAATACATTTTATTTGTATAGTGCTATTCTAAATACTCAAAGACACTTGGACCTTTCAACTGTAAAAAGTAGATCTGTTGAGTTGTTCATACATGTCAACCTCATCATGTGGAGTCAACACCACCTCACTTTGAAATTCATTGAAAAATGAGGTTAGATGAGCAAATGATCAGCAGTCTCAACACAAACTGTACTGATCACTTCCTGGTCTGCTGCCTTCATACATCTCCTCCTACAGGTCTCTGTGTGAGTGCAGCTACAGCGTGCGCTCTCAGGACATCATTACCTGCAGTGTTCCCTCAGTGAGGCCTGAACTAGACAAAAGGTCCTTCTCCTACTCCGCTCCTGTTTCCTGGAATATCTTGTAAAAAGATCTGAAGCTCTCGACCTTTGACCTCTCTAAGTGGCTGCAAACATCTGTTCAGTTCCTGCAGATGTTCCTGGTTTTAGTTTTCTACACCGCCTTATAATCTAGATGTTTGTTTTCGCTACGTTTCTTTTAATTATCATTTTGTTTTCAATTGCAAACATTTAAAAATAATAAATTTGTATGACTCATTTGTGATTGTTTGTTGTACGAGTCCTCGTGGCTCGGTGGGACTAACCTGTTTAAATAAAGGTTGAATGAATATTTTCTGAATGAGAGAGTGGCTGAAAAACAAAGAGGGATTGTGCAGTTTATATTTTTTTATTCTGATTTGTTATTGATTTCGCGATTAGATCTCGAAATCTGGATGAAACGGAGTCTGGGAAACTAGATTTTTTTATAACTATGCTTTCACTTTAACAAAGGTACAAAAGTCATTATTATTATTATTATATTTTAACTGGTGCAATCTGCAATAACTTAAAATTTACACCAACAAAATCACTTTAGTGGAAGTAAATATGTGGACAGACACACAGAGCGACATGAAATGACCTTCAAGTGTTTATGATGTCTTAACGTCCATTATTTAGAAATATTAAAAGGTGTGTGTGTGTGTGGTACCACATATTAAAACTAAATATGAAGCCTAATTACACGAGTCCTGAAGACAGCTGGAATACAGTAGTGACAGGAACAAGTGCAGATTATAGCTCTTCCTTGGCTCCTGGTGAAATTCGGCAGATAATTGATAACGCTCTCAAAAACCAGGTCTCCAACTTGTTTTCAAAGACTTCCCAGTACAGAAGCACATTATCCAGAGTACTTTGCTGTCAGAATACTGGCTTACCTCAAAGTTTTAGGATTAAAACTGGAGGTAGAGTGTTCGGCTGCATGTACAGTATACATGCACACAAGTACTGTGAAATGTAATTACACTGCCTGACCAAAACAAAAAGTCGCCATCAAAAAAAGCTCAAACTTTGATATTTTGTTGGAGCGTCTTTATCTTCGATCACATCGTTCTCTGTGTCTTTGTTTCAATAAACTTCTTCAACGTCACAAGATCTGTTTCATCCAGTGTTGCATTAATGTTTCACCAACATCTTCCATTGATGACGAGACACTGGTCATGATGGTGCATCACTTCTCCTGCCTCTCTTCTGACCCTGATGCTCCATAACTCTGGAACAGGTCTGGACTCATCAGACCACATGACCTTCTTCCATTGCTCCACAGTCCAATCTTTATGCTCCCTAGCAAACTGAAGCCTTTTTTCCAGTTAGCCTCACTGGTTAGTGGTTTTCTTAAGGCTCCACAGCTGTTCAGTCCCAGTCCCTTGAGTTCTTCACATTGTGCGTGTGGAAATGTTCTTCCTGTCTCTATGAACCACAGCCCTGAGTGCTGCTGGTGTTCTTCTTCCATTTGATTTCACCAAACGTTTAAATGATCACCGATCACCATCATTCAGGGTTTATTGTTTTTAATAATGTGTTGGACAGTTCTTAACCCAGTTTAAGTTTCTACAATCTCCTGAGATGTTCCTCTGCTTGGTGCCGATGATTCGACCCTTCTCAAACAGACCGACATCTTCTCCTCGACCACCATGAGTCTTTCATCATGTTGTTGAAGAAATGAGAAGCAGCTCATTGCATTAAAGAACTTGTTGCAGCTGAAACACAATCGTTCGTTCAGTGATGATCCCGGAGGCTCGGACCTGTTTCATGAGCTACATCCAGGTGGAGACTTGTTTGGGGTCAGGCAGTGTAGATACGATATTGTCCATTACTGCAGAGCTAAATGATGTAAATTACCCTGCCACCATGACACTAGCTGTCTTCACTTGTACTCATCATCTGCCATTTGTTTATTATGAAAGCTGGTTTTCATTTTCTCTACTGTTTGACCAAATCATTTCCCTCAGGGATTCAATCAAGTATATTTCTATTCTATTCTATTCTGTAAGAACACTTGGCATCAATTTAGGAGGAAGTGACACTTTATTCTTTTAAGACTAGACTAAAAATCTCTTTAAAAAAGGCCTATATGTAGGATCATCACAAACTTATTGGTTTGACATTTATTCATTTTAATTACTTTGTTACTGTGCATCTAATTTAATGCACGCATTACATTCTGCAACATTAGACTCGTTGCTTGTTGGGCATGTCAAACACTGTATGGAAACATACACTGATGACATCATTATTATTGTTAAACATGATCTAGCTGACTACTATGTTTTAATTTGAATGAAATATGAGTATAGAGCCTCGTTTAGCTTCACCAACTGGTTAGCTCGTTAGCTAACGAGCAACTTAAACACGGCATTATTTAGCTTAGTCTTAGAACACACAAGCCGGTATGAAGTATTGCCAAGTAAATATTTAAGGCCAGGTTAATGAAGCAAACAAGAAAGTGTGATCAGAAACAGCCCCAGTTGTTCTCGAACGATGCTAAGCTGTTCTGTCGTGATAAAGCTAGCTAGCTAACTAACGTTACCTCTTTCCAGCCGCACAGGTTCTCCGAGTGACGCCATTCTTGAAATGAAAGACTCAATTATTTTACGTGGATATCGCGATACGGAGTGGATATATAGGAAACAAAAAATGGGTAACCTTGGCAAACGTTTCGTGTGCCCAACTGAGACCATAAATCAGATTAGCCAAGTTAGCTCGGCTAGGCTAGCTGCCAGTGTCATGGTGCGTTCAGGTACACATCAAAAAAACTGAGAACTCTGGGGACAGGATGTTATCGTGCAGTCAGTCAGGTTTTTCAAAAACAAATTTCACAGATACAAGTCCATTATTGTTTAAATTTAATTATGGATTTATTTGACATTGTACTTTTTTGTATTAATGTAAGTGCTTCCACTAATGTAACTCTAAGTGGCTTTAAGAATCTGTTGGACTCCTGGCAGGGTCCAATGCTGACATGTTCCTGTTTTTAGTTTTATACATTTGTCTTGGAATCTAGCTGTTTTTTTGGTTTTGTTACCTTTTTCCTTTTAGCCATCCTATTTGTTAAAAAAAAAAAAAAAAAAAAAAAAAAAAAAAAAAAAAAAAAAAAA